GAAAAATTGCTAAGAATCGGACCAAAAAGGTGACCACCTATCGTCCAGATTGTATCGACGAGCCACGTTTATGTTTAAAGTGTTTCAACACAGTGCACCGTTAGATGCAACATTTGTTCTCTCTTTTTTTTATTGATGTTCTAATAAAAACGTTTAATTGTTCAACGGGGCACTTTTTATTTCAAAGTATCTTCAATTTATCGGTTATATTGAAAATACCCTAACTGTCAATTTTCATACAATTTTTGCAATTGTAAGAAGTTGAAGCCCTCCGGTCACCAATGACCACCATGGCGTCACGGGAGAAACCGTGGTAGGTCGGATATGACCAACGTGGCAGTCAAAGTGTTTTTAACAATCGCGCCTATGATGTATTCGTTCATTTTGACGCTCGACACGTAAATATTTATAACGTCGGGCGATCGAAATGGAAGTTATATCTACAACGTTTGATAATTCCGACGGACTAGTTTATTTATTTATTTATTCACACGGGTAGAAGCCTGAGATTGAAGCGTGATCAGCGTGAACGAACATGTTGCAGAGAGTGCTATAAAAAAATGTTAAACAATTAGAATGAAAAATTGCTAAGAATCGGTCCAAAAAGGTGACCACCTATCGTCCAGATTGTATCGACGAGCCACATTTATATTTGAAGTGTTTCAACACTGTTACGACCGTTCGCGGAGAGACGCGGTCGCGAGGAAAACGCGTCAGCGAGAGGCGTAAATTCTCGCTACGATTCGGTGAATCGACGCCGCGAAGTAGTCGTTCTCCTGTTTCGGTTAAGATAACAGAGGTGGTTAAATGAATATGACACAGTAGAGTAAGTTATATTTCACCGTTTATTCCAACAACTTATAACGAAGGCAGTTACGCTGGTGCGTATGTACGAGATGAGTGAGTGACTGATCTACGGGCGTGTATACCCGGTGGAAGGATGTTGACGAAGGATGTAAAATCAGTACCGTCTTGGGAGACGATGCTGTGTCGGAGGAAAGCTAAGGATGGATGTGTCTAGCGCACAGGACCATCGGATTTGTTGGTGACGATTTTAGTTAAAAGAATGAGGGAAATAGGCTTCGTTGTTAATTGGTTAAACGAAGGGTCTTAACCGCCCTCGAGAGAAAGTGGTTAGTGGGAGGAAAGTTGCATCGTAGGTGAGAAAAACTAACTTTCCCTTGTCAAGCCGTGGTAGACAATAGTCTTTAGAAATTCTTCGGAAATAGACGTTTGTTCGGTTTGAAGGACCTTTACTAGGAAATCTATGAGATTTATGGAAGGTACTTGAGGCTATTGAGGGTACGCGATGAGTATCCGAAGACATCTGGTTGCCATGTTGCCCGCGGTGTGTGGCTCGGGTTAGGTTAGAGTGTTACGCGACGTAACAAACACAGTGCATGGTTAGATACAACATTTGTTCTCATTTTTTTTATTGATGTTCTAATAAAAACGTTTAATCGTTCAATGGGACACTTTTTATTTCAAAGTATCTTCTATTTATCGGTTATATTGAAAATACCCTAAGTGTCAATTTTCATACTATTTTTACAATTGTAAGAAGTTGACGCGTTTCGGTCACCAATGACAACTGTCACGTCCCGCGCTGCGCACGCGCCGTAACGTAGATTGAAACTACCAATAGCGCGAGTGAGCGTTCCAATTTGAAATTTAAATAAATTTTAACAATTTGTATAGAAACCAAATTCGAGCCTCGCAACCCCCACGGAACAACCCGTCACATGACGACCCCTCCACGGTAAACCTAAATATAAATGAGTGTAGCGACATAGAAGAAAGAAAAAAATAATTCCTTAGTTCAGAGTAATTAATTCTTGAGTTTTGTGTGATTAGTTCCTCAGTTCTTGGTGATTAATTCCTTGGTTCTTGGCGATCAGTCGCCCATTTCTTGGCGAGTAATTTCTTGTTCATAGCGATTAATTCTCAATTCCTTTAGCTCTTGATTTCTCAATTCCTTTGCTTTTTAATTCTCTAGTTCCTTAGTTTTTTCAGCTCTTAATTCCTTTAGCTCTTAGTTTTTTGCTTTCAGCTTTGAAGTTCTTTGGTCCTTTAGTTCTTTAGCTTTTAGTTCTTTGTTTCATTAGTTCCCAGTTCTTGTTAGTCTTGTTAATCGACGTGTTTGTATTTGTCAATTTGTAAACTATCGAAAATCTATCAAAATTAAAATCTTGGAATTAAGAAGAGTGAAAACGTATTGCGAACGATTGTAACTCCGAGTATTCGAAATTTCAACGACAATTCTGTCAATATCCTCTTAGAATACGAATAAACATTTTTTTTAAGAATATTTGTCTAATAATATAATAGGATTAAGCGAAAATTTATTTTCACCAACTTTGGAAACGTGGAGTTTAATTACCAATCGCATTAAATAACAGACAACACTACAATTTAATGTGAATTCAAAAATTAACGGCAATACAACCAAAACGGGCCAAACAAAACGTAACACCACCATGGCGTCACAGGAAAAACCGTATCCGCTCGTAATATGACCAACGTGGCAGTCAAAGTGTTAATATCCGCGAGGAGCGAGACTCTAAGATCATGGTCTTTCCCTCGAATTAGTATCATCCATAAAATAGTTTTCATGCCGAGGAAAGCTCTTTTGTAGCCAGTATAATTCATAGGCTTAATCTTATCAGCCTTGAAGCTTCAATCCACGGAACTTGGTTCTTTTCCATTGTTTTTCTCAAGAGTTTCCGGCATATAGTCGTTCCTTTGATCCGAAAATACCGCGATAATACTAGCTGCATTTGACGAATGAAATCGCAGCGTTGTTCTATCGTCTCGTTCTCGGAACTATTTCTCGTTCGAAGATAGCCGAAGGGTAATTTCGTCTGAATCTAAGTTTAACCGGCTTAACGCCACACAACGCATCTTCTAAGACGAAACGATTAATTTCGACCTATTCTGCATCAGGAAAGTAGTAATTTTCTATTCCGAATTTCGTCGCGTTGTTTCGCCTCGAGCGACGTTAACGCACGCGATAAAACGTTCAAAAGTGGCCTGTTTGAAAATTTGGACAACATTTGGCGGGAATCGCGCGTCGTAACGCGCCACGTGCCTATCGGCAACGGTCGTACGCGATCGCACTAATTTTAGATGCTACGAGGAAAATGAAAATCCATCAGGTGTGGATGTGTATCGAGCGAGAGCCGGTTAAACGCGCGATCTCTGCGGCTCGATAACGACCAGTTTAACGACACCGTGAACTTGCACGGTAGGATACGGTGCACGACCGCGTGAGCAATCACGCGCGACGTGTTAATTAATTCCCTTGCGCACGTGGTACGTTGAGTCGCCAGCTTCGTAGCTGTCGTCGGCAACGGCAGACCGCGAGGCGATTGCACCGCGCCATCCTTCGCCAACTTGCGCGCTTCCGTCGCTAAACGCTTAATTCGGAACCTTGAAAAGTCAATCGAAAGTTTGTGATTCTTGCGAGGCAATTTCACCGACGGCCGAACCAAGCGAACTGCCACCGCTGCTGTACCGCGCACGCTGCAACGAGTGGAACGACGCGCGTCAAACTTTTTAATCCATCGAGCAACAACACTCGAAGGAGAGTGAAATCAGAGCTTAACTTTGCAACTGCCCCGCATGGGAAAGAAAAGAACGGTCGAACAACTTTCGTCGTTTCGACGAAGCGACGGTTGACGTTAAGCGATCTCGTCGCACGTGCCCCGCCAATTTCCTATATTTTGCAGAAACGCGTTCCACTTTCCTCTCGCTGGTCCTCGCCGATTTCACCAAAATCCGCGTTCATCTCGCGCGTCGTAGCAACAACGAGGGGCGCGCAATTCCGCACGCAGAATTCGTGCGTCTGACGGATCCGACGTGCAGTTGTTCGCAAATGGAAAATTGAGCAGCTGTGACGCCAGCAACGAACAATTCGGGCGTCACGCAAAGGCAGGTCGAAGGCGTAGCAGCATCGCGCTTTCACGTCACTGAATTCGCGATATTTTATTTATGCAGCGATATTTTTACGTTTGCAACGTTCCATCGTAATCAGATCATGTCTCATTAGGGGAACGCATTTCAATTGATCGGTGTCAACGATCAACGCGACCATTAATCGCTGTTAATTTAAATCGCAATAAACGTGGTGTAGCGCGTGCTTCAACACGTCGTTGGCACAAACGAGAGAGACGCGCCTGTTTTCACATCATTTTGTCCAACGAGGGAAAATTGGATAAAAGATGGAAACCGGTAATAAATTAACGAGAAATTACGGCGTGTCGGAAGAACGAGAAGCGGCACGACTTTAATCAATAGAAGAGTTGCTTAAGAGCGCAACAAATAATAATTGGATAAATACGGTAAGTACGTTTCGTGGAACGTGCACAATACGTATATTGTCAAGGACGATATAGGTATATAAAAAAAAAAAAAGAGGAAAAGGAAAAAGAAAAGATGTATTGCAGTATCAACGGATTCCACCAGCAATCTTTCACGAACGATACGATATTTTTTTACTCGTCGTTTAATAAAATCTACAGACTCCACGCTATAGCAGAAAAATGCTGTTACTTTCATCCGCTATCTATCATCTGCTATGCTTAGAACGTAGCGAGCTCGATGCTGCTACGTAGAAATAAAAATTCTAATCGCCGATTATTCCCACTGATAAACGTTTAGACGCGAAACTTAAATCAAAGGCAATATGTTGTATGGAATTAAAAAACGCGCTATCGGCAAGTCCGTATTGTTCCACGTCTATCTGTCTATCTATCTGTTTTATCGTGGTCGTGGTTGTTGAACGTTTGTTATTTCCGTCGCGTAATCATCGAACGTGCAGAGAATTTGACAAGCGACGCGACGGCTCTGCTTTTCTCCGATAGTATAGATTTTCCATTCCGTTCGAGTATATAATAGCAGCTTGACGACGTCTAATCGACCATGAATTTGTAAAGGACGTAACACGATCCGATCGTATAGCTAGAAGAGCCGTATCGCGCGAAGAAGAATGCAACACTTACCGATACCCTTTTACCAAAGCCAAGGAAAGACAGCTTTCTCTTGGTGTTGTCCATGTTTCACCGGTCGCGGTAGCTGCTGCGGCAGCTATCAGCTTAAGGTGTCGTCTTTTTCCTGGGTGCTCGGCCGATCCTGAGTCGGGACGGCGATGTCCACATGTGGAGGAGTCGCTGAGATGGCAGCTCCGTTCTGCTAGCTGTGCAAACACGAGCATACCTTTAGCCAGAATTTTGCAAATTCCATATCGGATTATCGAATATCTTTATGCTACATTCTAAATAAACGTCGTCGATCGATCATTACGTGCTACGCTACTCTAACTCATTCGGTCACGCCTTTTTCATAATTCCTACGTCATTTAATATCGTCGGTTTATCGATCAGAAGGTGTCTTCTCTTTCTCTTTTCACCATGTTCAAGAGCGATTAAAACGGATTTATTTATACTACCTCCCTTCGTCAGGGCGATAAAAATACGGAAATACAGCGACCGGCGCGAAATTACTACGCGGCGATGTCGGAGATATAAAGCAGCAAGGTGCGATTAAGAATACAACGAGGAACAGGAGCGAGGATTTTGCTGAAATTCTTTCTGCTAAGATCCTCCTATCGAGAGAAAAAAAAGAAAAAAAAAAAAGAATCGAAGATGAAACGGAAATGTTTCGATTGAATTTCACGAGGGATGACATTAACCGCTTTCTTCAATCGAGTTAAAACGCACGGCGAGGGGAATTTAGCGAAGAAGCGAGAAAATGGAAAGTTAATACGATGGCAGAGATTACACGGGCGAGAAGACGAAGGGAGAAGGAAACGGACGAAGAAGACAGGAGGATCGTATACACACCGAGCGAGACGATACGGTGTGGCGTGACGAGGACGGAGATCGCGACGATGATGAGAATCGCGAACGAACTCGAGAACACTTGTTCGCGAACTAAGGATAGTGTAGATCAGTGCAGCGGACTGAACTACTATCGAGAAGGAGACGTGACTCGACGACAGTGACCGTCCGACTGACTTCGTTTCAGACTGCCACTGCTACCAGCAACGCGACGACCATCCACAGGCAACGATTCTAATATAACTTGACAAATAAGGTGCCGGCATGGCGTAACCTTGCCGGCATAAACAACCAAATAAACCGAAATACGCCTTCTTCTCGATCGTTTAGCTGCTTCCATATCAACCCTCGTTCGTCGTTGGAACATCTTCCGCAACGTGTATCGAACAACTTTTACGCTTTTCTTTGCTAGCTAATTTGTTCCGTACTCACCGAGCCGAGACACAGTCGGATTAAAGAAAAAAGAAACGTACAAGCGTGCGACCAACCGCGTTGAATCGATCTTCTTCCTCTCGACGACAATTTAAAGAGCGCAGATGGAATTGAAATACGAGGGGCCAGCGTCGCTCGTCTCTAATTACCGGCTCGCTTCCGATAGAATGACGCAACGAAATGCCTGTCGTCTGTTCGATTATCCGCGCGTGATACCTGGTGCCTAGGAAATTTAGTCGCACGTTCCAACTACATTCCCGGTGTATTCTTCCGCCGAGGATCATCTTCCACGTCCGCCATGAATAATGGAAAACTGGCATTAGCGGTGATTTTACCGGCCGATTCGTCGGGGCCGAATTTTTTCTCTATGCCAATTATCCGACGAGTAAAGTAAAAAAAGACGACTTGGCAAAATCGACTTCTTACGTTTGTATCGGATCGTCAGCGAGTTAGCGATCCTTCTCGGAGTTTCCTACGACGTGCTGCATCGTATTTCAACGAATTTTCCGGTTAACGATATTACGAGGTATATGGAGAAAAAGAAAGGTTTCATTCGGACCGCACTTTCTCAGCTACGCGAGTCGATTTACCACGCGACCCAGTGATTTACGACGCTCTTTAATGAACCGTCGATCCTACTCTTTATCTTTACGCTATTCTAATCCACGCTGTCTATCAGATAAATCTTCACCGGGCAATAAAGTGCCTGCATGCAGGGAACCAGCTTCCATCGCTTCTCGAATAAAACGGAGCATTTTTTCTCGTTGGCCGTGCAATTTTTCGTAACGGTCGTGCTATTGCGTCGCGCGTACGCGTCTCCGAACGAGAGAAATGGCTGATCGCTGTGAAACGTTGCCAGATCGAAGCACGTAATTTTCGGCCCTTAGCGGTAACGGCAGCCGAGCGACGCGCTCGCACGCAAGCAAAGCTTGAAAAACGAGTTGAACGGTTTCATTCGCCGTGTTTATCCGACTAAGCGAAGCGACTAGTTGCGACGAAACGTCGGGGAATGTTCTCTTATGACACGAGCAAGTATAGAATTCCTGTATGCCAGGATTACGAGGGAATTTCTAGAAATTGGAAACCAGCAAGTTGAGTAATATAAATACAGTTCGAAGGCAGATAACAGAGAAATCCGATATCGAAGGATCGGCATGTTACGCGCACGTTTCGTTTGCTTCGTAAGTCGCCGATGTTTAAACGAACGAAATCTAAAACTACCAGTTGCCAAGGAGAACAGCGAACCAGTCACTCGGAGATTAATTGCCACGGAAACTTTCGATACCTGCTGTCCCATCCACGACTCCTGTTGCACTATATTAACGCGGTACTTTTCCGATCTTCCACGATCACCGACATACGCGTCTAATTGTTCTTTTGTCGAATAATCGTTGGCGAGAGACTGCGCGACCGCGGAATTATATAGCGCCGATGGTGCGACCGGATCGCACAAGGTAGGAGGTTTCACAATGAAAATTAGTAGCTCGCGATTAAACTACTAGGAAAGAGACTAGCCGGCTAGTCGTTTATCGATCTATTCGACGAATACTTGTTCACGGACGAACGTCACGTCATCCGATAGGCAAGTATCTCGAAGCTGTCGGGATAAAAAGATCTCAGGCAAGTCTCCTCCAAGGCTTCATTCGCGCCTGTTTCACTGTACGGCTGTCCTTTGTCATCGAACCATCTGTCGTCGGTAACAACGCGACAATTGGCCTTTTCAAATGCCGTGTTCTTATGTTACGGCTTGATAACGCGCGATTCTCGCTTCTGCCAACTCGTCGCAGCATCTCTCACCACGTCGCCACGCATTCTTATCGTTCTTCGGTTCGAAATAGTTTGAAATCACTCAACCAGACTCCTGCCGGCCATTGTGTCACGCGTTTTTTCCTTCAACCGCCATTGTTGCCTCTTTGCGCGCCGGTAAAACCTCGCTATCTCTATCTTTCCATGGAAATACGCATCTGGAAATATTCTATGTATTAGGTTGTCCGAAAAGTTTCTTTCCATTTATTAGGAAATAATAGACGCACAATGTTTTTTTGTTGTATATTAGTTTATTGAATTATGTACAAAGATAATAATAGAAATAGAACGAAATGGATCATACCTAATTCAATAAAATAGCATAAAACAGAAATTCTTGTCCATCTATTATCACCGTATGAAACGAAAGAAACATTTCAAATAACCTAATACAACACGCTTTACCGGCTAACAGAGATATTCGCGTAGCACGCGCGTCGCTGCTTCTCCGATGCTCAAGTTTACGAACGTAGCAGTGAAAGTATCTCGCGAGCTGACTAGAGATACGAACTCGCTGCTGACATAATTTAACCTTGTTTACATAGCGTGACTCGTTGCGAATTGTCAAATCCTTATTTCACGCCACCAAACCTGTTTCCAGGCTATTCGTGTATACATACGACAGGTATAAAACATAACCTCTCTTCCGTTCGCAGTTACAAGAGAGGTGTAATTTGCTTGGAAAGCCTCGTACGCAAACGAGTCTCGAATCGATAATAAATTACGAGGATGATGTGGGAAACGTTAAAGGAAGGTAGGTTGTCAGAATTCACAGACTCTTGTACCTCACACGATCGGATATTCTTGTTTATTCTTTGTTCATTTTTTGGCAAGGTAAAAGACACGATAACCAGACTTTTTCCAACCTCTCCTCTCTCTTACGTAACGATATCCATTCCTTGAACTTTGTTTCGTGTGTGTTGCAGTTCTCGTGACAACGATTAAACGGTTAACGCGTGGATATAGCGTAATGCGGATCGACGTGCAACTTAATATCTAACGCGATATCTCGTTTAATTTCCTAATGGCGAGAATACGTAGCGCCGAGTTGCAGAGGGAAAGAAAAAGAAGAAAATTAGAAGGAACGACGCGTTACGAAGCAAGTTAAATGTTATACAGTGGATCGGGAGAAATTAGATTTCCATACAAAAGAAGGAACACTGCGATTACCATTAGATATTAGGAGGAAATTAAAGCGAGCGTAGGACAATACAATATTCGTAAATAATTCAGCACGCGGATAAATATGACCCAGTAAAGGACGATGAATAAGTAAATTCGTATTACGTAGCGACATGACAGTCGGAAGCATGTTTCGTGCGCACCGTCAACTTTCATAGTTCGACTTGTCTGAAATATTCAAATGTCGTGGAACGAATAGTATAGACACGAGTATCAAAATCGAAGCAAAAGCCGCTTCTCTCTTATGGCGAATGTACTTGAAATTTTGTCCGCTAGAATCGCTTCATGTCTCCTCCCCGTGTCCGGCAATCGACTTTCGTCTTATAGTGAACTGTTTATCATCGCTCGTTCTCTTCGCACGCGATACCGCCTTCTAATCTGAAGATCGAGCCGCTGCGAATACGAAATGGCGCTGTCCTCGTTACGGAAGACGCGACGCGCAGTCTTGCCATCGAAGGAGCAAATAATTTCGGTGAACGTTTCTCATTCATTCTGAGTCATTCGTCATTCGCGTGGTTACGAGTTGGCGCTACGAGATTCAACTTGAACGCGCCCACGAATCTCTGGTGCGCTATCGAACCGGCAGTTTGCTCACCAAACAAGGCAAGATAAATACCACGATGCTGTAGTATTACGAGGATTAAGCAAGTAATGGTAGTCACCTTTCACACGTTTCAGCGGAAGAAAGAGCGCAAATATTCCGCGTCTCGGAGAAGCGTGAGATTTTAAGATGACCGCTAAGCGTTTCGGTACAAAGGATGCGTCCGTGAATTTAGAGCTTATGGTGGTAACGGCTATGGAAAATTTTCGCGTGACTCACGATAAATCGTCGGCCAACAACGGAGAAACCTGTTTCTCTCCCTCTGTAGCGTAAAAGAAGGACAGGGAACAGGAGTCAGAAAGAAGGAGAAGCAAGAAAGAAAGAGAGAGAGAGAGAGAGAGAGAGAGAAAGAGAGAATAAAAAAGGTCGCCCGGAGCAGTGCAGCACGTGTACGGAGAAGAAAGGACATACAGACACACGCGTTTGCACGATGCGAGATATCGAAGATTTATAAAATCAGGTCGAAAACCTCGAATCTGCCTGCTTCTTGCATAACCTTGTGCCATAAAAGACACGCTAGAGGAGAAACCAACGTGCTCCTTTCTCTCTGGCCGACTCGAATAGTTTTCTTTCCACGAGACTTATCGATATCCTGGCGCGTCACGGCTCACCAGGCATTGTACAAAATCGACCTAACCTTTTTCTAAAAGATAAGCGAGGCAGCTGCTTGTGCTTTAAGGGAATCTCAACTCGGACCACCATCTATGCGATTACGTTCGACCAACGAACGCTGCAGGATCCGGCGTTTCGTCGTAGTTTGTAGTCGTGAAATGTACGAAGCATCGTGCATCGAGACACTGGCCCTTTTGACGAAACAGAGAACTAATTCTGAACATACCGTTTCGCGTATATAGACCGCTGCTGTTCCAGCATTTATGGGAAATATATTAACACTTAGCCAATGGAATAGGGAGATCCCCTTTTTTGACTTTAGTAACGCGTTTTCTTTTTTTTTTTTTTTTTTGTTATTATCAGTTATCGTTTACCTGAAATTGTTCACTTTTTCTGTTTTTATAAAGTACAGTATATAATAAAATACAGCAATTCAGTGGTGTTAAAATTAATGAAAAGGTTACACTATCGGTTATGACTAGATAAAATTATAATCGAACGATAGCACACTGTAAAAAATATTAAAATGCATTATGAACTTTTAATTTCACGTTCGAGTCGTGTTATTTATCTTTAGTTATCTTCAATGCTCTTGACCTATATTTTTTCCTGCTTTTAATATACACATTTAATCTGATGTCTCGTATAAACAATATGCGAAACCGTTAAATAAAATCATTACCGCAAAATATAATTGACCACTCGAATAATCTTTAGAATTCCTTGTTTTTTAAGTAGCGAATATTAGTACTCGATACTTGGAAAATTGCGCGGTGAAAAATATAGGAAATATACAGATATAAAGAAGAATATTAGTTTGTCTCAGGAGTTTCTTTCCTTTTATAAGCAGATGCACAACATTTTCTCTTTTATATTATTTCATTGTCTCATTACTATACCATACTACATTCCATTATGTCTGAATCCATTTTGTAATACTAGAAAAGAATTATTTAACAATCTCGATAAAAGAATTACAAACAAATCTCTAGTTAGGTTCCGCTTCTTTAATCGTGTTGACAAATATAGGAACCTGCACGATCACGTCAGCGACCTATCTGTAGGATTAAAAATATTGGAGAAAGAGCGAGTTAGCGTGTGGTCGATAGGAAAATAAGGGAAAATCGGCGCGGCGAACTTCCCACGAGTGCAAAGCGAACGGAAGATCTAATGAGGCTGAAATTTTCGTCGCAGTGAAGAATCGCTTCGACCGAAGCAACGTCAGAACACGAGACTTAATTGGTTCAATTAACTGTACAGCATGGGCGTGATCAACGTCGTTATTAAACCGAATGAATGCGTGTATTAGCCGCGGCGAGAAATTCCAGTCACGTGGCCACAAGTCTTTCGCGGTTTTCACCCTCAATTGTCGCGAGTGCACGTGCTGCTTCATCTTCGTCGCCGATGACGCTTAATCGTGTCACATGAGACCGCGTTGTCCTACGATCGAGGGCAAACGCGGTGCGTCGATGCACGCGCGTTAAACGGACAAACAGTGGGAACGTTTAAGACGCCAGGCGACGTGACACGTCGCGTCGTAAACGGAACGCAACGATCGTTTATTGCACGCCTATTCGTCTAAAAATGTTGTCCGGTCGGTGCGCGACGGCACGTCTTACCACTCGACGATTACATTGGGTTGGCAACTAATAGCAACTAATGACAAAATCCGCAATCACTTAGTTGCCAACCCAATAGAAACTAAAACGTAGAGTATGGCCGTTTTTTTAACGCGTACAAGAAGGAAAAAATCGAATATTTTACCTGCGGCGTACGATACGGTTTTCACGCCGAGTTTCCTTCCCCTTTTCCATTCTCTCGTTTATTGACATTTCGATTTTTTTTTTTTTTTTTTTTTGATTTAACAATTATGTTATATCCAGATAATAAACGTTCGTGCAACGGTAAAGTAAATAACCTTGCAGGAAATTTATGAACTCGTGCTTAACAGTTGTCTAAAAGATTCGGGGAAGTTTCATTTGCATAAGCGGTAAATCAGGTGTGTCACCGAGAAGTAAACGTTTACTGGGAAGAATAAACATCTTTGCTCGCAATCGTAACGTCATAAACAACGTAGTATCTCCGTGAAAATTGGATCGCCGGAGACGTGGCGCGTGCAATGCAAATGATAGCGCTTTTGTGTCTTCGATAACGTCCTTGACGCGTCGCGTGTATGCAGGTGTGCCAGCGCGCCGCTTCCAAGGGATCCAGGGACGCGACGCGACGCGACGCGGCGCGTAACGACGCGCGTAATATCGCGCTCCTACTCTCAACAATTTCCTATGTTTTCAGGTCACGAGCCCGACCTATAACCAGCCAGCCAGTAGAGCAGAAATTTCACGATAAAAATTTCATTCCTAGAACTTGACATTCGTATGGTTCTCTGCATCGTTCGCGTCCAACCTTCTACCTACTCTCCTTTTTCCAATCGTTTCCCGATATAGCGTCCTCACCTTCTATCAGCTGTGTATATATACTTTCTCGTTGAACGTCATGCATTCCAGTTCTCACGACGTTGCCCGAGAGCCTAGTTATCCGGTAGAAAGTGTGAAAAAGTTGCGTCCATTGTTTTCCACCCTACCCTTCCATTTGTCGTACGTTACTACCCTAAGCAGCGAGCCACTTGCGGCTTAAAGCGCGTAAACAATTTGATGCAGACGAAGGAATTGCGCGTGATAAAAATATGGGAAACAAGGATTTACGCAGAAAGTATAAGATGAGAAAGAAGAAGGCGAGATGACGCAGGGATCGCAACGGCGACACAAATAACATCGAGGCACCTAGGTCAGGGCTAATCGGATGATCGTGCACGGTGACGCTCTGCGAACCAAACAATGCTAAGGGCGCTGACAATGCTAAGGCTACCATCGATCCAACGTTGTGCATACACCTTTACTTCCACCTGTCGCTACTCGACCGTTCAATCATTCCCTTCCGACATTGTCCCCACGAGCTTTTCTCTCTATTCTCAGAAACGTTTTCCAGGTAGAAGAGACGTTTCGAATGGAAGCAACGTTTCAACGTGGTGTAGATTCCATCGAAGAACCGGTGCACCTACCGTCTTTTAACGTCTCTTTAAAGGTAACCTTGCCCTCCTCCTCTCGTGGATCACCGATCATCGGCTACATAGAATTTTAAACGATCAGCTGATCGGTCGTCGCCATCATAGGGAAAGCACGTGATCCCGATCACTACTATTACTAAACTGTACTAAACTGTAACTTTTACGAAATGTCAGAACGTTTTGAGTCACGGTTAGACGTGGACGTCTAAAAATATCGACCATCTCTATTCAAGGTTGCTGTTCTCGATATTTAACAATAGCGTCAGCGAATAGGTGGATGAAACAGGAAGATAGGAAAGCGAGCACGGTTCGATTCCTCCACCGTAATCCGTAAATATTTCTATGTTAAGAACGTAACGCATGCGCCAAGCTTTTCAACGAAACAACATCCACCGTGTTATCCGGATAATTTTGAACTTGTAGCAAGCGCGCTCTCAATCATCGACCCGCCTCACGTAACCGATTTAAGCAGCCAAACACGACCAGCAGCTTTTTTTCCAGCTTTTGCTCGGGCGGTTGTGCTCGAGCAAATATCGTAAAAAACTATTCAGTTACCTTCCCTTTCCACTGGCATTTTCTTCGATCGACCTGACAACGACACGCACGACAATCCTCCACTTCATCCACCGAAATTGTTCGTCGGATGGAACGATCGAGCAATGGCAGTCATCGGCAGACCGATAAATCTCCATTAACGCTTTATCGGAAATCGCTTATGGCAATCAGATCGCCACGATTGCACAACCAAGCAATGGCAGCAGCGACGTGTATTTGCATTTTTCGTGCGTGCTGGCAGCGCGAGCGCTGGCTAAAAGAAATCTCGCGCCGTTTAATAAATCACTGGAGATCCGCTCGGAGAAGTTGCCGTGACGATAAATGTAACCAAACTTTTGCACGCGACGAGAAGCGCCGGCGTTTTCGTGCATTGAAACGAGACGGTGCACGGGACCGTGATATCGATCGGTGTAATGGCCCCGTCGTGAACGTGAGTCGTGACACGAACAAATTTGCATAAGGCTTTCGCCCCGCGTTTCCTAAAAACGTATACGCGTACCTGTTTGCACGACTATCTGGTCTATTCGTTCTATTCGCCTGGCAACCAAGCGATCGCGGATTTTGTCGTTAGGTGGTAATAACAACTGTAACAATAAAACTGCCCTCCCTTCCTTATCTTCGTTCGAATTCCTTGCGATTAAACCAGCCGAATATTTCGTCCATGAAAATCACTTAACACCTGTTTCAAAAATTTCTTCCTATTGCCAAAGTTGCTCGAGAATCGTAAAAGTAGTTTGATCGTGAATCAGGAAATACCTGGTACGTAAACGAATTCATCGACGCTGAACGAACATGTCGCTGTTTACCGAGCGAGTCTGCGTTCTATGTAATTTCAATGGGAAACTCAATGGAGAACATACCGATAATTGAGGATTATAAAATCGTTTGTGCATTGTCGTCGATAGCCGCGCGACAAATAAAGTACATACAACGTCCGTTTAACGGCAGTCCGTACGAATCGAATATTGCGAAAAGCAATACGAACCACCATACTCGAAATAATAGCTGTTATCGACCGATCGGAGATTCGAATTGCAAATACGTTGCATTGCTAACGCTCGAATAACTGTCACGCGTAACGCTCGCGTCGCTTTTACAATTCC